ATTTTTCTATACGAAACAATAAAAACTAATAAAAAAGAAAATGAAAAAAAAGCTAAAAATAATTATATTTTGTTTAAAAATATAATAAAAATTAAAAGGAATTTAAAGTAAAAAATATAAAAATAAAGTTAACAAAAAAATATCATAAAAATTAAATAGAATAAAAAAAAAATTTCTATTTAAAGCGATAAAATCTAAAAATTACAAGAAAATATAATTGAAATAAAAACTTAAAAAAACAAGTTTTTAAAAATTAAACGAATTAAAAAAAAAATTATTCCTTTTTAGAGCTTCAGGTCGGTTATTAAATAAAACTTAAATTGGAATAGCTGTAGGTATTTACTACATTTATTGTTGCCGAAAAATAATAGAATCTTAAAATTTTAAGAAAATTAAACTTAGAAACGAAAAACTAATTTATTTAAAAGAGAAAAATTTTAAATAACTTTCTTAAAACTAAACGATTTAAAAACTATTTTGTCGTTAAAAAATTGCTTACAGGGCCATTGCGACTGTTGGAACGACGCGACCAAAATAATATACAAGCGATTTCTCTCAAAATATTGAAGTGTTGAATGAGACAGCTTTTTTTCTTATTAAAGGCTTTTTGCCATCTTAGTCAGAATTGCCCTGTAAGACTAGCGAATCGAAAAAAAATATTCGCCAATCGAAAAATAAAGCTCGCGAACGTATTTACATGAGATTTAATTCCCAACTTTTCCCGTTCTGTATTCCTAACTAGCCGCTAAGTTGATTACCATACAGCTCCAACTCATAATTAAATTTGAGCTACGAATATGATGCCAAACTGTGACCCTTAAAACTAATAACCGCATGCAATACCAAAAATCATATACATGCATACAACTCACACATGCAGCATACATACATATGTACATATGTGCCAATGTGACCAAAACATGCCATTCAAAAATTGCCTTCAAAACTTTCACTGCATTTGCGAAATTGGAAATGTGAGTGCATGCAAGTGAACGGGAGGAGGAATCAACCGTCCGGTTATATTTAAATTTTGTACGCTAAAAGCGCGATTAATTCTGTGAAAATATATGAAAATTATATGCCTGTTATTTAATTGCTTTTGCATGTGGTGCCCAACAGCGGTCAGCTACTGTAGAACAAAAACAAATGGGTCAAGCAAATATTAAACTAGCCATTAAATGCGAAAAATGTTGAAACAAATATGTGTAAAATTACTATATTCCACCCGTTCAACGCCGCTGTTATTGTTGTTGTGTTTTGTTGGCGTTATGCACGCTTTGCCTCGCAACCACGCATCTAATGCGCAGAGCTTTAATGCACCGATGAATTAGCTTTTAAATGCAAATGCAAATTTCCATATGTATGTATATACATATAATTGCAAATATCCACATCTAAAAAAAAAAAAGGTATTCATTAGGCCGGGTCGTTCTTCATATGGAATGAAAAAGTTTATATGGAATATTTTGAGGTCATAGAAAATTTCAATTGCTCACGTTTTGGAAACAGTAAAATTTTACTTTTCTCCATCACTTCGTATAGCTTTCAATATAGTAAAATGATGCCAGTGTTACCAGTTAGTAATAGTTGATACACTCCACTTGCAGCAGATTTTTAAAGCTAAAAATGCAGCTTTGATGTATTTAAAAACAATGTCTCGTAATAAATATCAGTTAAGATGAAGTATTCTCTACATTTAGTAGCAGGTTTCTGATACATTTTCTATCGAAAATAGCTGTAATCGAATCATAGATATAGATTATCCGACAATCTCGACCGCATAGTAATCTCATGTATTTATTTTGGTAAGTGTACTTCATATATAGCTCCAAAAATTTTGACTAATATCATAGACAGATGGCAGTGGCAGTGTTAATACGAATTAACGGCACAGTAGATCGCATCAAAATTATTTTCTGACAGTTCCTTTAAAAACTTTTCATATTTTGTGGACTTTTTAATAAAATAAA